GGGTAGAAAGAGTACTCCTCATGCTTCCAGCTTTCAGAAAAGCAAAGGGAATGGGGACTGATTCCTTTTAAAAGACTTAAAAAATATGGACAGCTGAATACTTCTTTCTATTTACACAGAATATTGGAGACAATAGAAAACCAAATTGTGCCTTCAAAATTCCAAGTTATGCTTGCACCGTATCCTATCAATACCAATGCCCAACAAAAACAGCAATGAAGTAGGAGTTATCTAGCTCACTCTTTGGAATTCTAAGGGAAATGGCCAGATGAAGATGTCCTGGCAGATATCATACCTAGATAATAACACTGGAGACTATTTTATGTGTTTAAAGTAGCCTAGCTTTGATTACAATGGGAGAAAATCGACAGAAGGGAATAGTTAGAACTGAGTGGTTTGTCCACAAAATCCTGAGCAAGAGAGTGATACATATCATTTTATAAAATCTTTTGTGTGCTTCTATCTATCCATGTATCTATTCCTATCCAGGTTTTTCATATTCACTGAAACACTGAATTCTACCCTAATCCAAATTATGTTATTATAATGTTAAGATCATGGAAGAATAGAAAGGCTAAGTGTGTTGAGGGTAGAAAGCTGGTGGGGGGTTGTTAAATGCTGCCTAAGTGGAATATAAAAATTGAATTGCAATGCCTATATCCGAGAAAGAGAAATATGTCCCGAGCTGGGACTGGTGGTGCAGGCGTGTATTTACAGCTACTTGGGAGAATAATGCAGGAGAATGTCCAGCTCAAGGACTGCCTGGGTGGGCTACAGAGTGAATTCAAGGCCAGTCTAAGGGGCTTAGTGTGACCTTATCTCTAAACAGAGAAGTAAAAAGCCTGGAGATGCACAAGCAATGTTCTAGGTTCACTCTCTAGTACAAAAAAGAATTAACAGTGTGTAAACACTAAGGCGGGTGCACATATACACAATAAGATCTGCAAGATTGTAAGCTAGCTGTTGGCAAGCTGAAACTGCATAGCAAGAACTTACAGCCTTCATAATCATCCTTTTATAGTGGTTGAAATATAAAGAGAAGCCTTGATGTGTTCACAGTGTATTCAGGTCATTCCAGTGAACGAATCTGTGGGGTCTCTAGAGATTATTGGTTGGCTGTTGGTAATTCGTAGGCACAATTTCAACATTCAAAGTTGCAAGTGTACATCTTGTTCCTGGCATCTGCCATCACTGCCACCAGGAGGCGTCGCAAAGTGATACCTAGGGCTGGGGTTTCTGACTCTCTTTGATTATGCCTCAGATTTCTGCATTTGGTCGTGACTGAATTGGAACTATTTCAGTTACTCAGACGATCTGGAAAAACACTAGCAAGGTCTTAGATGTCATATCTCCGTGTGTTAACTAAAACACTACTGTATGGCAGGTATTGGAATTGGGTCAAACTCTTAGAAGTAGTTTTAAAACCTTACATAAATAAGAAACCTATTGGAAGGCAGTGTAGTGAAGAAATCACTAAGAGGGAGCTAGGTTGCAGGAGCTGTGGCTTCAGTTCTGTGGTGAATGACTGTCACATTTAGGGCTTATTTTATTATCTGAAAAAAATGATGTTTGTTCCATGTCAAATATACATATCTGTCTGCTCTAGTGGCCTATAACCATTTTACATGTTAAAAAACTCTTTCTTAAAAGTGCCAAGGATACAAAATATATCAACAAGGCAGCAGATACTATAATTACATGATCAAGAAATACTATTATTAATATTTTGGCATATCTTTTAGCATTATTTCTAGTTACCTATGTACATGTGTGTATACTTTTGTGTTTGAGAACATGCATCAATCTGTCTACATTATTTCACAGAAGTCTCCTTCACCTTATTACATAAGCACTCTCTCATCGTAACATACCCATGACACAAGAGGCCCCTCATCACCCATGACACAAGAGACTTCCTGGCCACTTCATAATTCATATTTCTAGATGCTTCACATTTTATTTTAATCCCCATTTTCTTTGAAATTCTTATATCCATATTCTCCTTTCCCAACACCTGACTCAGTAGAAAACAAACATACAACGCTCACCAAAAGCCTCCACTATGAAGCCACAGAGTGACGATTTTCTCATCTTTTATTTGCAAACACATGTGTCCTTTTGGGCGGGGTCTAACTGTCTATTTCAAGTGATTCAATCCACCTTCTTATTGCTCTGGTGCCAAACACTTGATTCTAGATTCAAGTTATTGTCTTAAGAGGACATCGAAGATGAATTTGTTGTAAAGCTTTTTTTATATATAATTTCTGTATCAGCAATTGGCTCTGCTTGCTTCAGTGTAACAGGTTGACTTCAGTTTCCCATTCCCAATACAAAATGACAGTAAATCTCAGGTTCATGTTCACTAGGATGGGAAATATGTGTATCTCCCATTCTACACCAAAAACATTCTTTAAACCCTTAATGGGTATGATCAGTTAGTGATTATGTTTACTTATTGTGAAATTTGAATTGACCTTAAACTTTCTGCCTGTCTAAATCCATCGTATCTTCACAAATATCAGTTAATGTGCTCACACTGGAATTAATGCTGCTTTTACATTCTCTATTTAAAAAAAGACTGTGGCATCTCAGTATGAAATTATTTTTATTACAGACCTTCCAGGGCATTTCAATGATTATGTTTATATGCAAATATTTGAAGTTCATCTTCCATATAAAAATCTGTATTTTTATTTGCTTTTAAATCTGAAAGCTTTAACCTCAGTGGGGAGCAATGCATAAACACATTTTCAAAACTCTGTACCTATTAGTTTTAAAATGTCCAAATTATACACCACTTCCTGGGTTGTTAAATGTCTTTTTTGTAGTAAAAATATTTTATATATAAGCCATACATTTCAGGTTCCACTTAGGTTCACTAATGTATTTTTAATAAAGTTTGCAATATTTTAAATACCTTTTGGGTAACTTTTAAATAGAAAAAAATCACAAGGAAGAATACAAACCATTTCCATATAGAAAGTACAAGGCAAATAGTCTTTATAAATTTCTTTCTTTTTGGTGAAGAGTAGATACCTATGAGGGATGACCTTTAAATTAATTAAAAAGTAATGGTAAATTATAGTCCATAGTACCACACCCTGCCATTTCCACATCCATGATGACTTTTAGAGAGAAGTCATTTTTTCTTATCATGAGTTTGTTAAAGGCCTTACCCTGTCAATATTGCAGCTAGCATGCTTATCTGTATGGAATACCAATGCACCTTGTTGTGCTTGGTGGGTGGGAGTACATTTTGTTGCAGGCATTTTATAAAATATTGTAAAGGTTCTTTACAAAATGAACTGCAGGACTAACCTATGATCCATCAATACTATTTCTGGGCACATATCAAAAAGAAATGCAATCAAAGTTACAGATAATATCTAGGCCCCATTATTCATTGGAGCACTATCATAATAGCCAAGATACATGGATAAATGTATTTTTTAAAGACGTTCTTGGGTACCAAGATAACCTGTGGATGCACTTATAGCAATTCTTAGCCATTTAAGATGTGTCGGATATACTAGAGATGTAAAAATAGCCTTACATATTAAAATATATATGGATACAGCACAATACATAACAAGTGCTCATATAGTTCCTAGATTTATTTGAAGATTGAAGCATAAAGAATAAATGTAAAATCATCAAGGGGTGAACCTTGGAGTCTCAAAGATATTACTAAATCAACCCAGGAAAGAGATAACATAAGATGACATTATGGCTTTGGTTATGGAGGAATCTAAACACATTTGCAGCACTTTAAGTAAAAGGAAATAAATGGAATAAGTGAACAGAGTAAAAGAATACTTAAAGGAGGACAAATAACACAGAATAAGAGTTGCAGCTCTGGACTTTAAAGCAAAGCAATAATTTTATTACCCAGCATTGCCACTTTGAGGCACTGACTCTTGGTAATTCATTTAACCTCTCTGTGTCTTATGTCTTCATCTGTAACTTGGTTTAATACTGCCCATGTCTCTAAGATACAAAATTGACATGGATAGAATGTAGTTCAGGAAATCCTTACCTGTATAGTGTGTAAAGGTGATACTGAGCAGAAGCAAGTTGGATGTGAATAGCTCCTGCCCCTGTGACTTCCCTACCAGGCCGGACATCAACCTAGAATTGTAAGCTGAGTTAAGTTTACAATTGTAAGCTTTTTCTGCCTGTATTTTTGTCAGGATATTTTCTCACAAAACAGATATGAAACTAGGACAAATATTTTGGGTAAAATGGAGAGACCAAATCGGACATAATCATTAAATGAAAACACTAAATAACTACTTCAGAATAAGATCAAAAGCATAGAAAAGAATATCCAGGTTATATCATCCAGAGAGAGAGAGAGAGAGAGAGAGAGAGAGAGAGAGAGAGAGAGAGAGCGCACATGCGTGCATGTATAGGAATGCAGGATATTTTGGAAGCTGCAGTGAGGCAATTACTGACCATGTACCATCAATAACACCAGGAAACTATAGGAATCTTCGGAAGTTATAATGAGAAGGAAGAGATGAAGGAAAAGTTGGCTTAGAAACAGAAGAGAAGCATTAAGGAACGTTTGAAATTATCTTTGTGAAGTATTTCAATGTTTTATTTAAATGTTTATTTTATTGTTACAGTTCTATGAACAAAGAGGTATTATGTTATTAGTCAGCCCAGGCTACTATAACAAAACACGACAAAATCCCATTAACCACACTTAAGTGTAGGATTCAGGTCTGGCAGATTTAGGGGGTCTGATAAAGACTGCTTCCTGGACACAAACATGGCTACCTCCCTGCATTTCCACTTGGTGGAGAGAAATCTTAATGCCTTCTTTTAAAGGGCTTTGATCTCACCTCATGGCGTTAACTCTAATTACCTACCAAAGGTTCCATCTTCAAACACCATCATGTATATGACACAGGAAAGTTGTAGCACATTTATCATATAAGAAATATTGTTCTGATCACAAGTAGAGCTGTTCTCATGATGTATTTTCTTATTGACAGAACAGAGTCACAGGAATAGCATATCGGTCAAAGAGGGACCACATGATGTGTAAACTCATGTGTTTATCTATTACTTACTCTTCAACCATTGGTGGGCTGACAACAATCACTGGTACCTCCACCAACCTGATCTTCTCTGAGCACTTCAATACGTAAGTAAAATCAGATTGGTGGTTTAACAAGTGGGCAGCAAACAAACCACAGAAGTTGTTCTTACCTGACTAATCAAATCCAGAGACTGAACTGTTATTTGAGAATAATGTATCGTCGCTTCTGATGAGAATGTCTCTAGATCTAGAAACCTTCCTCGGGACTGAGGATGAAATATGCAGGATCTAGTAAATTAATATCTACTTGAAGGTTCATTCTGCTAATCTAAGATCAGATCATGATTTTATTCTGCCAACATCACCAACAGCAGGCTTATTATGTATGGGGTGTAGCAGAACTCCCAACTGAGCCTCCTACCAGAGAGGGAAAATTTGTTTCATTGTAACTAATGTGATAATGAGTGGGCATGCAAAGGCAGTGTTGCAAGAGCTGGTTTGTGCAGAGATTGGCTACTGAGCATTTGGACTTGAATGGTGAACTGTGAACACAAGATCTAATTGCAAGAGGCTGAACTTGGCAACTCCAAAAATATCTGAAGCTAGCAGAGAGGAAAGCACCAGAATATCCCAGGGAAATGTAAATAATTAAAGTTTACAGTTGTGAGACCAGAATTTTATAAAAATTGAGAAATCTTCAATTTCAACCATGGTACTGTTTTAGTTAAAACTTCTACAACTTTGCTTCCCTACTTTATAAAATTTAACCCAAAATAATATTTCTAAGATGTAATTCTTCCTATGTAAAATAGTCACATTTTGTAAAAGTGCTATGAGAATTAAATGTGTAAATAATGCTAAAATGTGTTGCACTGTGTAAAACTGTTGGAGCAGCCATTAGAAATACATGTTTTTGTTTGAGCTCAGAAAGAAGGTTTATTTCAAGTATTAGAGGTACATTTTATATCTGCTGGAGTACTAGAAAGATCTATGGCATTTAAGAAGGCCAAGAAGAGGAGCTAGACATTTCTCATGAAAGATAGGGCTCAGAATCAGGGAATTCATTACACTCTAAGAGGCAGAACCCCAGGCTCTTTGGACCTTATCAAATTATTTGTAAAATGTTTTTCATACAAAGTTTCTCCAACAAATCCAACCCTAAGAATGTCATTCCTTGTTCTCCAAAGAGAAGCATCCTGTGTACAAAGAACAATGATGTAGAAGTTCGGGCTCAGCACTGAATACCTTTGTGTGCATTTAATGTTTCTGTGGATACACATCTATTTTAATTTATATATTTTAATATACATATATATTTATGTTATTTTATGATTTTAAGAACAATATATTTTGATAACGTTTTCCCCTTTCTCAACTCTTCCCAGATCTTTCTCATCTTCCCATCTTCCTATTCTCTTTCTTTCTCTCTTCCCTAAACAAGACGAAAATTAAAATCAAAACAAACTAGCACATGAAAAAACAAATTAAAAGTCTTAAAAAATATGGAGTACATTTCCCATTGTTTAGCTATACTTGGACATGGGGTCTACCCTGAAATGTGATTGATATACCCAATGCAATCCATTGGAGAAAACTGAATTTCCCCTTTCCCATAGGTATCCATTGCAAATAGCTTCTTGTTTAGGATGGAGCTTTGTGTCCACTTCCCATTCTAGTGATGCTTCATAGGTTCAACAATCACGTAGGAGGAAATATCTGAAAGGTGCTTGATTCATAAGTGGAGGACATCTGAAAAATCAGTGTGGAAGGGCTGTATCTGTGAACACCCAAATTCAGAACTGGAATTGCCCCTGAGTCATTTCTGCAAGCTTGAATTACACCCATGGTTAAGAAAAGAAATCCAGCATCTCAACTAGCTCTTCAGAATCTTATTCCTAATGTTGAGACTCAGTTACTACTGTTAGTGGCAGAGGACTGCTGTTATGTATAGGATAGTTAATGATACCACTTTCTACAGTTGAATCCATGCAGACTTTGCCCCTATCCTTCATGGTTCTTTGTAGTATATCAACCAGTTTTTAAAAATTACTACTTTTTCATCTTTTTCTTGATTCTTTGCATGCACTAATCTATTTGTCGTACCAGGTCAAGAGCATTTTAAAGAATTTGAACAAAAGTTTCAAACTATTTTCATGAATCTAATGTCCCTGATCATAAAATTTGACTAAAATTTACTTTAAATTTAAAAAATGCTTAAAATACACCCTGAAAGGAAGTGTTTGTCTTCAACATTTTGCCTTTGCACTAATAATATATTGAAAGAGTGATTATAAAATCAGATTCACCATTTGATAGAAATACTGTTATAAAAGAGAAAATACATGTCATTTTATAAGTTTTATATTATTAAATAAAATAGATACTTAATGAGCTTTTCCTTGAATACTCTTTTGCAAAATACAGTAGTATCATAAAACTACAATAGGACAATGTTGATTCAAAATCATTGAAAAAATATCAAAAGCTTAAAGCTCTCCAAAATATACTGTTTTTTAATATATATTTAGAGCTAGAGAGATATTCTGCTTTATTTAGGAATTCACTAAGGCAATACAGTCTTGTCTTCTTTATACGGCTTGCTGTTGTTTTAAAGAATGACGAATTTGCAATTTTTTCTTCCAAATGCTAAAGACGACAAAGGAACTTGAATATCAGCAATTTCTGTCACTGATATTTAAAGTAAGGTGCCATCTCCCAAATGCACTATTGAAAGGAAAATATTACATAACCTATTATGAATTCTTTTCCAGCTATTTACCTGCCTATTTATTTTCTATTTACTATAATATATTTACCAATAAATCTATACATCATTTTTATAGATAGGGTTGAGAGATAATAATAGAACATCATAATATAAATACTCCAGTACGCTCAAAAAGGAGTACTTCTGCTTTATGCGACAAAACATTTGCTAGTGGAAATCGGACATGATTCAGAAAGATTTTTAAGGCAAACACTATGTACAGTAATAAAATTAGTACAAATAACTCATAAATCAATGGAACAATGTCTACAATGTATTTTCTAAGGACTGGGGCGGTATCCATTCTCTACATAGTTTAGAGTATCAGTGGGCTCTCAGGTTGGCATTCTAGGAGTCTGTGGAAAGGAAAGCAATTAGAAGTGCATAACTAACATCCTGACACATGATGAAAGGCTACTTCTGAGATGTTAGACTTTAAATTTAAGACACTAGACACCCAGAAGGTCATTATAATTAATTTTGAAAGTTTCAGGTTAAAGAGGGGTGAAAGCAACTATGGTACCACAGTGGTTCCAAGAACTTCTATAAAAGAAAGGCAGATTCACTGGAAAAATGAACACACTTAATTGAGACAGGCTAACATGTCTTACTAAGTACCTAACCACACAAAGAACTGTAGCAGATTTTGTAAGTTTATTCACCTAATGTAATAATAGGTCAAATAGTATATCTTTAAGAGCAGAGCTTAAATTTTTGAACATAGAATTTTAAATAATTGTCGGAAAAATACTAAGGAAAAGTTAAAAGAATACCAATATGCTGCCCATAAAGAGGGTGAAGGAAGTTAATTAAAGTAGAAGAATCAGAAGTACTCGGTGTTCTGATAGCCAAAACTGAAGTCCACCTTCAGAGGAAAAGGTGAAATAGGGGCTCCTGAAGGGACAAAAGGGCAAGAAGATGACTGTGGAAGGACACAGTTCCCCTTGATGTTCTGGAAGAGAGTGGGCTCAACAGAGCAGTAGATGGTGCACACATTTAGACTGATGAAGAGTGAAGGAAGTCCATAGTGGGGAGAGGAAGACACAAGTTGACATTATTCACATTTGAAAAAGGCAAGAATAAATTTTGGCCTGGCCAAAACTCAAGGGGAATTCTTTCAGAACAAAGGTAAGATTTCAGTCTCGTTTTCACAACTGAGAGAAAAAAAAAGTCTTGGAAAAGGGAGGATGAATGGAGGAATAAGGAGAAGAGAGCTTCTTAACAAGCATTGCTGGAGACCAGCTGTAGCAAGATATGCATGGAGTTCACAAGCACTGATCGTTCTTAAGGCTCATCCTAACAACTGAATAATGCTTACATCAAGATATACTTGTGAGAAGAAATTTATTATTGAAAATAGTTATTATTTTTGTAGTAGTAGGGGAGGTTTTCAGGCACTATTGCCACAAAATAAATGACAGCTATCAGTCAAGAAAGAGCTATAGCAAAAGAAAATGGGATGTTATCCCAGGTAAAATGACAAACACACACACATATATATATATATTATATAATATAATTATATTATAATAATATAAATATATATTATTAAGGTTTTAAGTTCTAACTGTAAAATTATGGGCATAGAAAGTATCTTGGAAGGAATGTTTACGTTAAGATCATCACGGTCATTCTTCTTAACCGTGTGCTCAGTCGTTACAGCAGTCACTTTATCTACACGAGACATGCTCCAAAAATCTCCGTGGAAATCTAAGCCTATTGATAGTATCCAACCACAATGTGGCATTGGTTACACATATAGTACTGAATTTGTAAAGTAGTCACTGTAAGAAATTTTTACAATACCAATCAAAACAGAAGAGCAACATACTGTAATGGAGGTTATAAGACATACCTACTTTCTTTCTTGAAAGAGTCAAGGCAAGTATGAATATTTTTAGATTATGATTGATGGCTGATAGCTGCTCTACAAAAAAAATGAAACTGTGGCCAACAAGTGGACTATTTCAAGGTTCGTGGGGCCAGAGGATAGTAAAAAAAAAAAATCCTTTTGTGACTGGATGGTGGTGGCACATGCCTTTAACCCCAGTACTGGGTGGCAGAGGCAAGTGGATATTTGTGAGTTTGAGATCAGCCTGGGCTACAAAGCAATTACCAGGACAGGCTCCAAAGCCACACAGAGAGACCCTGTCTCAAATAAATAAATAAATAAATAAATAAATAAATAAATAAATATAAATAAAATGAAATGAAAGAAATGCATTTGTTCTTGCCTTGGTTTCAAAGCCTACTTGACTACCTTATTGTCTTTGCTACTCCCAGATGAAGAAAATAAATTTATTTTGTCCCAACACATTACTAATTCCCAATAACTACC